ATTAACGTCTACCTAGCTGACCCCCCCATTTAACCAACTCTTAATGAATAAATCATATAATAATGCGCTATTTATGCGCTCTCAAAATCCGTAAAAAAAATTTATGTCCATTTTGTTTAGCTAAAAAAAAATTTCTTGTGGAGGGGTTGAGTAAGCTGTTAGTCAGCCCCTCCCTCCCTCCCACGTGTTAATAACAACCGATTTGGAAAATCAAATACACAAGATTTATGCGCTATTTATGCGCTTTCATATTTACTTCATTTCACTTTAGTCAGCACCTCCCCTCCCCCCTCCCACGTATTAATAACAATCGATTTGGAAAATCAAATACACAGGATTTATGCGCTATTTATGCGCTTTCATATTTACTTCATTTCACTTAAGTCTCTTAGGGCCGGTTCTTCTATCTTTTGGTAAATTTTACCTATTGGATAAATAGCAAGATTACTTGCTATTTACCCAGATGCGCGAATTGCCAGATTTATCTAACAGGTAAAATTTACCAAAAGGTGAAACAACCAGCCCTTAAGGGTTGCAGCGCAAAAATCGAAATTGCTTGGAAATAGTAGCGCATAAATCGAATATATTTTGTATAGTTAGATAGCATAACTTTGTAATTTTAAATAACTTAGGGAAAAATATGACCGTTTGCTCCAAAAGGGAAGTGATTTAAGAAATGCAGCGCAAAAATTGAAACTATGTGAATATGAAAGCGTATAAATAGCACATAAATCCTGTGTATTTGATTTTCCAAATCGGTTGTTATTAACACGTGGGAGGGAGCTCACTGATAGCTTACTCAGCCTTCCATAAAAAAATTTTTTTAGCTAAAATAAGTGCAAAAATTTTTTTTGCGGATTTTGAGAGCGCATAAATAGCGCATTATTATATAATTTATTCATTAAGATTTGATTAAGTGAAGGGGGGGGGGGGGGGGGCCAGGTAGGCAGATGCCTAGCTCTTATATTACACTAAACTAGTGCATATTAAGAATTGCCATATTAAAATTAGCAAAGTTAAATGTAAATAAAAGCATATAAATATTTTAAACGCTTAAATACTCAATAATGATATTGTCATCATTTGTTATTTAATAGAACATACATGTATTATTTCATTGTTAAAACTGATGTTATGCCATATTTAGATACTTTAGGTACATAGCAGCCTTTGTAATATGCGCTAATCCACAGTGTAGTGCAAATTCATCATTTAATTAATTACTGAATTAAGTGAAATTACATTGTACTCACAGGGATTCTGCAGCACCTGTCGGTAGACACGGAGCGCCGCGGTTCTCTGATCGACGTAGTCCCACAATCCGTCACAGGCGATTATGAGAAAATCCTCGGTGCCGTCCAGAGGTACGCATCGAACCTCGGGCTCGCCGCTGATGTACGGTTTATACGGGACATCGCCTGGAAAAAGAAAAAAAAAACGAAAGAGCGCTGTTAGAAGGCACGCGCTCGCAGAGGCTTACGCTAGGCGCGAACGCGAAAAGCGGAAAGGAATGTTCAGCTCCGAAAGTATGCGATTAAGATTGAAGCGGAGGCAACTGTTACGGTTTACCCATTGGTAAGGCCCGTAATTCAGATATTTTACACGTGAAAAACACGCCACGCGGCGCGCAATTAAGTATAATTAACTGTTTAATGAATAGCGCGGCTAATTTAAATAACGACGCCACTGCAACAACGCCGCGCTTCCGGTTATTATGAATCTGAACGCCGCTTTTTCTTCCATACTATCCTCTCGAAACCGCACCGGAGAGCTTGGGTGTATACACACACGAGAAAATATATTTGCATCACGCAACTAAATTATCTCACTCCCCATATAACACAAATTAATTTTTACAATTTCGTAATGAATCCTCCGAAGCTTTTATGTTTAGGACCTGTTGCGTTAACGTTATTGCGTTAATTAATTTCAGTTAATTAAATTCTCCATGCTAATGATGGCGAGTCATTAAACCAGGCTTATTTAATTCGCTTATACAATCGCGCCTGATACAATCGGATTTTATACGACGTAATTTGATGAGGAATAGAGCAACGCGAATGCTCACGTAAATAAAAAAAAATGTCGCAGTAAAAATCTTTTACAGATCGTGGATGGTCATCTTGATCTCTGGAGCACGTCGGGAGATCAAAAGCCGAGATAAACATTCGATAGATCGCGGCTCGCGAGCCCTATGCGCGTCTAAAGACAAGCAGGAGAATGAGAGGAACAGTCTTAATTATTCCGAACATGCGGTTGTGCGCGAGCCACACTCGGTAGAGCGCTCCCGGAGCGTAACTGCACGTAGTATTGTGTCAGCGGGCGAACGGAACTAACAGGATACCCAACACGCGGCTAGAATTTTTCTTTTCTCCTCTTTCCTTCCTCACCATTACAGGTTGTGCCTTGAGCCGTAGTTGGGCACGGGCTCACCTGGCCACCCGTTCCTTACTTGCAGCTACACTGCATATTGGCGGATCCAGAAATTTGTCATTGCGCCGCAAGTGAAATTTTTTTTTTAAGATCAAATATGAAAAGATAGAGTATTAAATTATTACATTAAACATATATTATTTAAATGTATAATTCAAAAAACATTCTATTTAAAATTATATTAACATAAAAGAAGAAGAATATAATGGAATATATGTTTTTTTTTATATTTAGGAATTTTTTAAATTAAATTTTTTTATTTAATTTAATTATTTAAGAATTATTAAAAATATTATGTAATATTTTGGTAGTATTGTTAAAAAAGGAGATCCTTCATGGCCCCGTGGATCCGCTAGTGACATTACGACTTTGTTTCGAAATTTTGCGACGGATTATTTACGACCAAAATACCGAAAGCTTGATGTGTCGAATGATTTTAATTCTCCAACACGAGAAAACTCGTACCGATTACGTCAATCCGAAAGTAGCATTTCCAACAAAAACGGATTACTTCCGTCTGCCGTGGTAATTCGAATCCGTCGAAAATAATGTCGATCTCAAGATTAGTTGCGAATCACGTTTTCGACTACGTGCGTAGAATAGAGAATTCACAGACCATGAAAAGCGAAAAAGTGTAATTTCCTTATAGTTGTCTAGAAAAATGGAGATAAATAACATTTCCGTACGAAGCGATGCTTCCATACGATGCAACTGTGATTTCATATATTTTTACAGAAATGGGACATGATTAATTTCAAATTTTTGAGAAGATTAGTTTTAGATTTAATCTTTATCCAGTTGATACTAACTAAAAATAGCATAATATCAATATTATAATTTCGCATTCACACGGAAAGAATGATTTTAAAGTATTAAAAAATTGAACTAGATATATAGATCAAAAAATAATTTTGTTAGACTACCAAAATTGTTATATAGGACGTTCAAATTGATTGCCAAAACATTTTACAGCATTGCTTATTATGCTTGAATTTCCTATATAATTATTTTTAAGTCCAACAATATTATTTTCAGATTTGTATCTATCTAAACTTTTAGATATTTCAACAAATCGCTCTTTCTGTGCAACAATATAAATGTAATGTAACATAGTGTTACATAACAGTAATATTGTTGAGTGCGAAATTGTAACATTGATGTTACGTTTAATGATGTTGACTGAATTTTTAGAAAAATTAATTAGATTGTGGAGAAACCTTAATTCGTATGCACGAAGAAAATTTTTATAAATTCTATACGAAATTCTGAGAATCCGAAACTGATATTGGTTTTTTACGTGCGACTTCGCGTTTTATACGTATAGAATTCTGAACGACGTACGAGCATCGTTTACCACACTATATCACGATCGACCACGCTGTCTCCATCTATACTTTCATACCGTACCAAGCCTTTTTCATCATGGTCAAGGTCGACTGATAAATTCAATCAAAAGTTTTATCAAAAAATAATCTAATCTCTTTAAAAAGAAGCGATCTCAAACTAACTTAATCGTTGATTAATTTAATCAGCAAAACTATGAGAGTTCTAGCTATAATTCTAAGTTCGTCTAAGTTTTTCATGTTGAACAACAAAAAATTTACAATAATTAATAGAACTATCTTCTATCAATTAACAAAATACCGTAGGAATTATTTAACGAATTAAGCGTCAATTAAGTTAATCAAAGTTTAATCCAAGTCATCCTTATCCTAGCAGAATCTAAAGTCATAATAACAAAAAGAGGTAAAATTAATTCTAAAGTATTATTAAAAATTACTTTACGATCCGATTACTTTAAGATTCAGTTTAATGTCAAAATGATGTTATCGTGATCTAGTATTTTGCTTAAGTATGTCTATTTCTATGTCAATTAACTTTAATCTTGGATCAACTTATAATCTTTATCTTTTTCTAGTTCTAAAATCTAAAAATTATAAAAAGATAAAGAATAGATTAAACCAAGAAAGTTATTGATAAAAACAAATATTAGACATTTTTAGCGTTTAATTATCTAACAGTGATTAATTATATTATCTAAGCAGTGATACGCAACTTGCAACCTATCTGCGAATTTTTTGCGGTGTCGGTTTGCAGCCGAAAATATAAAATAATATTTTCTATTCTATACAAACGAAATAAATAAATTCACATTATGCGAAAGATTTTACTTATTTTTGAAAATAATCATCTGAAAATGATCCTTAAAAAAGGTTGCACATCACTCAGATTTAATGCTTGTGAATATTTTGTCGCATAACGAAATTAGAAATGCGAAAGTTTTTTATTTTCAATAAATTTTTATATCTTTGTGATAAAAACGTACATATTACAATCACTTACCAATGGCTCGGGATATGCTGAGGAATCCGTTTACTCGCAATATACCCATACAATGGACGACGGCTCCTCCCATATTGCGAATTCGTTCGCTCTCATCCTGAAAGGAAAAGATCGTAATATATAGTAAATAGGACATATCATACCCAGCTTGGATAGATTTTGCACGTGGCAATGTTAATAAAAACGAGTCGAGCACAACATTCTCGTGATAACGTATAGATGTCAAACGTGTCGATATTTCGATACTCTCGCTTGGATTACCTTTTGGATTCACATTTCACGCGTCTCGATTGTTCATAATACAAAGCATTCTGAACGTCGATGACAATATAAAATTACTGGTTTAAAAATAAATTCTTCACTCTCTATCTCTTTCCCTTTATTAACATGACTGTCATTGGAACGCAGACTGACAGCGATAGAAGATTGCTAAGTTTTCAAAATTATGAAGAATATTTAGACTCGCTAGTGACGCCTGTAGATATCTGCTACCTCAAAAGCAACAAAACCGCGCGCCAGTTGGCCGAGCTCGGATACCGCTGCACCGGCGAGACTTTGAGCGAGGAGAGCTTTTATCGTCGCTTACGAATCGTGAGAGATCTACTATTTCCCGTTCACCGGCATTACGAACTCACTTCGGAATTCGTGTCACCAGTCGGTATGTTAATGAAGGAACTTGCCCTGCGCGAGCGAGCCAACAGATTAAGGACTCTGTCGACCATCATATTCATTCGAAGCTTCATAACAAAATTACAGTTCGAAGAATCAGCTTATATTGATTTTTACGATCGACTCAAGTCGGAAAATTGGCTACCATATTATCAAGGAGAGAAAAAATTGTCACCACTCAAGCGAGATCTCGCATACTATCACTGGAGAATGGGGAAGACGTGTTTGAACGAGACCCGTAATTATGTACCGATTATAGATTCCAAACGTGGACTGTTGTTTAAAAATATTCACGACAGACAGGTGATTACGGTCGATCCGACTGCCGCATCACCTGGTGTACAAACGACGCGAGTTCGGATACACTGCCCGTTTTATGAGCACGTAATACTGTACGATCATGTGATTCGAAGCAAAATTACATATGACAATTAGAAATGTCAATATTCAACGTTATTACTAATTAAACTTTTTAATAATTTAAAATTATCTCCATACTTTTATCTTCCAAGGAAAGAAGGCACAATAGTGGAAAATTTAATAAAAGTTAAAAATATAGTCTCAAATGAGCTTAAAAAAATTATTAGACTGGTGAATTATCGATTTAATCAATGGGCTAAATTAGTTTCGTATCAAGAATTATTAACATTTGGCTATAAATATGAATTGAAGTTCATCGCAAGATCGAGATTTTCTGAAGATTGAAACAACTGGATACGCGATTTAAATGTAGAAATATTCTGTCAAAAATGAGATTATCTTATATTTCAAATTCTATTCTATTAAAAGAAGTAGAAAATTCAGGTTACTTACTTCTCTCGATGGTCGATGAGGATTGACCAATTGTTTCACATTGCCGTATGTAACCAGCGAAGCCATGGAGTCGCCAACCCAAGCAATGTACAATTTCTTATTTATCAGTAATGTGCAAACCGCGGTGGTTCCGCCATTTAATTTCTGTAACGAAATAACGAATCAATAAAGTTCGTCGGTGATGAATTATGCAAAATAAAATATAACATTTCACGTAAGAAACATTTACCTGCGTACTCGATTTCGCTATGAATTGTGCATCGGTCGTCAGGAAAGCATCGCGCAACGCACGTTCTGGATCTGTAGGATAGTACACACTCTCGACCAAATATTGATGTAAATGTGTTGCGCAATATGCCGCAGCGTCCTGTCCACCGTGGCCATCGAATACAGCGTAGTAATCCACGATAGTGTCATCCTGCAAAGTACAAATTAACGTATCAGCTCATATATTAATACGTCAATAATGTCAGATGGAACTAATTTTGAATATAATGGCCAATAAATTTTAACGCGTAAATCAATGCTTATTATTTCAGCATTATATATTATTATGATTGCAAACAATTAACAAGATCTTCACCTGAATATTAAACATGGTATTCAAATCGTGCAAGATCATGTGGCGGTCTTCCATTTTTCTTCTGGCATTTCTGATAGCACCCACTGTTACTTGCGGCGTTGATGAAGGCGGTGGCAAGAGAGCCAGTCTGCTGTTATCTAAATACCGCCTGCAGATCTCGTTTACTTCGTTTGTGACGGCTTGCATGAGCTTCAAAGGCGCATACGCTGCAAAAAATCCACCGAATAATTTATATAGATTGTAAATAAAAAATCTATGAAAATGCATTTATATTTGAAATAAATGGTTCATGCAACGATCAAAATAATAATTTATATGGAATTATAATAAATAAATTATTATTTTAATCGTTTATAAATTATTATTTTGATCATTGAGCCATTTATTTCAAATATAAATAAATACATTTTCAAAGATCTTGGATTTATCAGGAATTATTATTTTCATTAAAGGTGCGATTAAAGTCTCATTACGAATTCTTTGAAGCGTTCGAATGACCGATCGAAAGAAAGAATTTTACTAATTGGCCAATCAAAAAACGCTTCAAAGCATTTATAGCATCCGTTGACTACGTTAAAATTATAATATTTGGGGGTGGGGGGAAATCAGAGTTACATCATTTTTTAAATAAGCAGTTTGTATTTCGTATTTTTTGCGAATATTTATTAAGGTACTACGAAATTACAAAAAAAACTTACTCTTTTCTTGCTGCCTTAGTCCGCAGATTTCCGGCTGTTTCTTGCATGTTGACTTGATCGCTTGTATTACGAGACGTGAGATATAGGACTGTAAGCTTGGTGGACAGTATCTGAAACCAAACCGCATGGCTTTTATCGTATTTCTTACTTCCGAGAAATATTTACAAGGCGATATCAATTTCAAAAATACAGATTCTTTGACCAGTTTTTTACTTTCTTAATAAAATAAAATATGAAGGTTAATAGCTTCTAGCGATAGTTTTGTAACTGTAGTTGTAATTTATATCCAATACTAAAACTTTATATATGTATGCTTTGATCAGTTGGAGTCAGTTCCGTTTTTTAAAAAATATGGAGATGTTAATTTTTAGTGACAGTTTTATAATAGTTACAATTAATATCTTATGAATAATTAAGTATATAAAACATTCGCAATTAAGTTTTTTAAACGAGAAAGAAAGAAAGAGCATCTTTTTCTATACTTACAAAATTAAGAAAATATTCAAAAAAGTTAATATAAATATATATCTTAATCTTTATCCTTTAATTAAAAAATCTATCCTTTTCTCGTTGTATTACTTACACTTTTCGTACTAAAAATAAAATAAATAGAGATACGCAGAATTTTTTTTACAAAAGAAAAAGAGAAAAAGTCACATACACGTAAAGAAATATGTACATAGAGTGCAACTAAAAGAAGCGAGGTTAAATATTTTGGCTATCTCTCGTTTATCGTGTATCATGTGTATAGCGTTTATCCTTTCCGTCTGGTTCGTGATAACGATGGGCGGCGATAGTCTCGTAACTCTCGTGAGTTTCAGTTAAAATAGATAAATGCAACGGTAGTGCGGAAGTAGCTTTCATCTCGCGACGATTCGGTTATTTTATTTCGCGCCTTCGAAGAACTCGCGGTTCGAGAGGGCAAATTTCTTACATAATCTTATATACGTTTCCTGCTCGCGTGAGGCACCGTGCAACTATGCGTAACTTTTTTGCGTGTCGATTTTTTTCCACGATGCACACAATATTCTCGCGCCTTTAAAACAGCTCGAGTATCTTTATGCTATAGATGCAATATAAAAATCGCATTTATTGAGAATTACAAGAGAAAATATTTCGTAACTTTCTCGGCTTTCTTCTTGTAAAAAAAAATAGACCATTGCAATAATGCCTTCATAATATATATGTATATAAGGTGTCTCGAAAATACTTACTTTAATACTTCGATTTATCAGATTCTTAAGAGGTCTTTAAGTTTATATTTACTAATGCAATAGTTAATGAACTTGTGTTTATTTATTTTTCAAAAAACAACAAATTACATGTGAGATAAACAAGAAAATCCATAAATTTAAAATATTAATTTTAATTTTAATACGCGAAAATTTGTTGAAACAAATATAGTTTTAAAATGTGATTACATTAAAACTAAATAAACCATCGTTAAATAATTTTCATAAAAACCTAGTTTGGAGGTTTGGACTGTGTCAAAAGAAGTGAAAAATTAAAAGATTCAAAATTAGCGTATGTTCTTTGTTTCTTCATATGTGTATTATATAAATAGATCATTTGATTTTCTTGTTCTTAATATTGCATCTGTACGTCGCAATATTTTATTAGTTCTAGAAAGAGTCATAAAATAGTGCAAAATCAGTTAGATAATTACAGATAATATTTATAGTAAAAGCAACTCTCTCGGGCAACAATATACTGAAAAGTATTTCATAAATCTTAATATGTATTTCTTTAAATAATACTAAGTAAATTTTTACTTACAGTAAATAAATATTTACTCAATAAAAAATTATAGTTAAACCAAATTAACGGTTTTTGTATCAAATAAAATATGTTTACATTTCATAAATATTTACTTAGAACTATTTAAATAAATATTTATGAAAATTTATTTTTTTTTTTCAATATAGAAAAAATCTGATCGATATGCCAAATAAGCGAGTCAGTGTATAGCCGAATTATCTCAAACAATTTTCCCGTTTCTGTAATTGTTTTTGTAAAATAAAGTAATAAAAATTTTGTGTCAGAAATGATTTTCATTTTAATTACTCGCAGAAGCGAGTCTTACCGCGAGTGAATAAACCCAAACAACACAAAGTATAAAATTATAACATAAGACGTCTTTAAGTCGTCTTTTAGACGCAAAAACATAAGACGTCTTACCCGATTTTAAACACTCTTTGTTATCTGAGAATGAATACTCAAGAGGACTACCAGCATAACAATAAATCTTACAAGAATTTATATAAATATTAGTAAAAATTGATTGGAGTTTAAATTATTGCGTCTTTTTCTACTTTACAGTAAACACAAAGTATAAAACATAAAATCAATGTTATAACTTTACACTCAACAACGTAATTATTACATAAAACATATTATAATATCTGTATATTGTTGAGTGTGAAATTATGACATGAATGTTACGTTAACTGGTATTTATCGTCTTATGTGCAGAAATGATGAATCATCAATCAAGCCGTAATCAGATCTAACGCTCGCAGAAACGATTCAGAGGCAACTAAACACATGTTTCTCTAGATTTTTTCTAGATATCCCGAGTTTTTTTATCCAAAAATAAAATTGTCTCTACAAATACAAAAGATTGGAAAGCAACGTGTCTCGCGCTTCACGCGGACGAACGCAGGCGCGAAGCCAATGCGAGATTTCGGCATGTCGGTACGGGAACGTCAAATGCAAACGCACGTCTACAATTTGTACACACAAACACGGATGCAAAAAAACGCATGACAGGGTATCCACACCACTCCAACATGATGATCACTCGAAACAACGAAAGGCGAGTTTGCTTACATTCGATTGAGGTACTGTAGAGTCACGCTGATGATCTCACCGACGAGCTCGTTCTCGTTGACGTCGTAAACGCTCACCTTCACCGGCAGCTGATCGTCCGGGTTCACCCTAGCGACGAACTCGGCGAAGAATCGCGAATACTCGCCGAGGTAATCGCCGTCCGCTACGCAGTCCGCGGCCATTGTCGCTTCGTGGGACGCTCGTATATAAACACGCACGTGCCACGGAGGAGCGACGCGCGACGCCACGCCACGCTTTGCTCCGGCACCGCTCCGCTTTGCTCCCGGTTCCCGGCGCGCCCCGGCCCGCTATAAACGCCGTCTCGTTCCGCTCCGCTCCGCTCCGCTCGTAGTGCGCGCCGCCGCACGCGCGCACGTTACGCGCCGAACTCGTAACGTACACCGTACGGGATATGATGCGGGTCCGATTATACTCCTCGACACCGATCGCACCGACTCCGATTTACTCCGGAGTTAAGACACGCCAATCACGCGATACGATCTATGCAATATTTATATATCTATATACAAGTTATGTCATTCATTCAGCGGAGCGTCCCCGCGTCGCACACTCGCCAACCACTACTTGGTACAGACGCGGAACTGATTCGGTTGGGAGTGTTGGAACTCCGACTCTCCGACGCGTACGGCGTACGTGTATACACGCACGCACCTATGTACGTGTTATACGTATGTACGCGCACGTATGTGGAACGAACGGAAAGAGCGGCGTAATTACGAGGAAGGACGGAGAGGGGAAGAGAGAGCGAGTAGAGTGGAAGGGTCGCGCGCCGCGACGTTCGAAACACTGGACGTTCCACTCGCTCCGTTTGCTCGCGTCTCGCGATCCAGCGATTTTTCTTCTTCCATCGGCGTACGAATCGACTCCTCGGCGATGTAGACGCCGTTAGGAGATTAGAAGATCGCCAGGCGACGTGTCCTTGGACGACCACGCATGTCCGACACCCACGACCTTACCGACGCAACGATCCCGCGTCGTTCCGCTCCGGAAGATTCTGCGCCGTCGCTCGCGGCCGGTGGTTCGGTTCAAGGTGAACACGAGTCTCGCGCATGAGCGGCTCACGCCTCGTTGCGTTCAAAAAACGTTACTCCTCTCTTTCGCGAGGAACGAACGGAAAAGCTGAAAGAATCAATCTATATCGAAATATGTCTGAGAGTTTTAACGTTCTCTTGTGGAAAAATATTATTGAACTTAAAGAATACTATTGGATTGAAAAAATGGAACGATAGTTTGAATATATGATATTCATTCCAATAATCTTCCAATTATTCCCAATTATCTTTCGTAAAATTCACTGAAAAAATATTTACTAAATCTTCATACATATTTCTGTGAATAGTATTAAATAAATATTTACTTACAATAATGTGACTATTTCTGGGTTAAAAACGATAATTCCAAGAAACTGAAATGACATAACTCATATAAAAAAGAATGAATTTAAGTATGATAGAAATAATTTTAGTTTACAGATGTAACACAAAGGAAATTGAATTGACATTTTTGATAAAGAGATTTATAATTGAGTGAATCCATCTTCGGCTCTGGAGAAGCACAATGAAATCAAGGAATGCAAATCCCCGCGAATCACGCATAGTTTGGAGCAAACGTGAGGTATATAATCCTATGCCATGATCGTATATTTATTCGCAGACTGCAAAACTTTACATATGTATTATTGTACACATGTGACTTTAAATAATAAATACATGTATGTACAAGCTACGTTTAATCTTAAGATAACATAAGAAATCTGCTGTTACAATATAGTACATTTTGTATCGAGAGGAGATACCTCTATGCCCTGCTTCATCTCTTTGCTTCGTATATGCAGATACGAGTTCTCAAACTCCTTCTGCATCCATTCGGGCAGAGGAGTGTTCCAGTTCTCTGGCGGTTTCTTCCTCTTCTCCCATACGTCGTTCTGATAATGCGCATGCAATCGGTTAAATCGGCGTTGCTTCTCGCTCTTGATCAGCGCGTCCTGCGAAGATTTTGTTCCAGTATTGTTTTACTTCATCGAGAGAAAAATTTTTGGTATTTGTCACTGTAATTGCATGTTACTATAATTACGATTATAACTGTTATAATATTAATAATAATAACATGTATGGTTCTATCAACAAATATATATAGTTGGCTATGGAAAATGACTATTAGCGTTTTCCGATTGTAGTGGATTTTTAATTGACCTGGGTTGGATTAATGCTTTATTATTGATTGGCATTACATGTTCTGAACGTTAAGCTTAGTACAGCTTGCAGCATCACTAATCCAAATCGAATCAGTTTAAAACCCGCTACAGTCGAAAATGTTATATGATTACAGTTACTATTATCATAAAGGCTGCGGTCCTTGCTTCTTCCAAATGCTACGCTCCGATTGGTCCATTACTATTTCGAATGTTACAATTGCTATGTGAACGCTTCAGCCAACCTACCTCCCGAGGTGAGGCAGTTGGACCAAAGTGGAAGCAAAAACGATGACGTATTGATGACGTAATCAGAGATGCTGGGAGCGTTCCGAAGCATCAAATAGATTAGTCATGTCAGTGCTACAATGTTCTATAGCGTTTGAAGCACTAAGTGGACCGTAGCCAAAAATTGTTGCAATTATTATAATTTAACTATAATTTATAGTAACTTTTTGGGAAAATTATTTTTTAGCAAAAAGATTATAAATTATAACTGCAACCATTTTTACGATAATAAGTATAATTATAGTAATTTTCGGTTTTTCCACTATATATAGTTGTAGTACAAAAAATTATTAGTAACATTATAGAAGTAATAATCATAATTATAGTAATATATAATTAAAATCTTTACAGTTACAAATATCAAAAGTTTTTCTCTTAGTATCCACCAGAAATTCAGACGTGTTATCGTCAAAATGTTTATGGCAACCTGCATACATATGCCTCTTCCGATTTGTGTTTTTCCCATTGATAGCAATTGTTATAATCGGTCTTCCACTGTTTGCAGTTGACTGTTTCGCCGAATATGAAGTATTGATGGAAACGAGCCTTTATACTGCTGCAATCGTCATACTCATCTTTGTACACCATACACGGTCTAATCTAAAGGAAATATACAAATATAAATTGAATACAAATTGAATATCCAATGGAAAATGATATGAATACAGGTGTAATCGCATACCATCCACTCATGATTGCGGAGTGACGTTTTCTCTTCTTTTTTTGCTTCGCTCATATTCGCTAAAATATATCAATATCTTTCAGATCGCAGATAAAAAATAGATTTGTCTATTTACTCGCCGGACACGTGTTTAACATACGTACAGCATAATACACCATAACTGATAAATACCGCTAACTAAAAGCGATATTTAGGTTAGATGTAGGTTAGATATAGGTTAAGTTAGGTTAGGTTAGGTTAGACACGCATGGTGCATTCAGAACGACAATTGCTCGCTCGGTATGAATTGGTTTGTTTTTTGTTCCTGCGTTAGACTGTTCTAGAACTCTCTTTCTCGCTTTAAACAAATATCAAACGTATATCTATCTCATTTTTAGTTCCAAAAGTGTACACTAGTTCAGTGACAGAAAACCAGACGTAGAATAATTTCCTAAATGTGCGAGCAGAGTGACAATTGCGGAAATCGAAAAATACAAGTGTATTCGAGTTGAAGACGCTGAAGTTGGTTAAACTGGAGACTGCTGAAGTTGATCGCGATAGAAAGTAGAGTATCGCGGGTGTTATTAGAGGTTCTTGGACTTCTTGATTTCTGTCATCTTTCCTAACCTCTCACTGCTTTCGCCCCACGGATGTCCCGGTATCTTTGCTGCCGTGTAACTGGTGCAATAATTGATTACCGGTGATTTAATCGCGCGTGAACAATAACATGATGTCGCGGTCAGTGCGGGCGGAGACTCGTAGTCGTGCCAAGGATGACATTAAACGTGTAATGCAAGTAGTTGATAAAGTTCGTCATTGGTAAGTTTCCTGTGTTGTGTTCGGAGGGAGAGAAAAAGGCGGATAAAGGGAATTGCCAGGTCTTACGTTTGTCATTTATCGCTTGTTTCGTGGAAGATGCTCACGGATCGTACGAAAAAAGTGAAACAAGTGCTTGTGTTTTGTTTAATTGTCAGAAGGGCGTGATATCTGATGTACGTATTGATGAAAGACTGCGAGACAGTTGCTAATGTTCGAAGTTAAAATACCCGTTTTGAGTATCAATATATTAAAAATTATATGAAATTCTGTATGACAGAAGCTTTTAATCTACTAAAAACGAACGTTCAGATAAGAATATTATCAATTCAATTGAAGATTTCATAGCTGAGCTTTGGATAGAGTGATAGAATTTGTCACAGCAACATGGACAAACGTATACTTACAATTATTAATACATAGTTTAGCTATGAAAACTGATGGATCTTTCTTTTATTCTTTATTGAACAATAAATATTTTTGCTCCTACATTCTATTAAATTTGTTATTTATATAAAAATAAATGGATAAAATTCTGAATGTATATATGATCGCAGGGAAAAGAAATGGGTCACAATAGGAGAAACAACTATGAAAATATATAAATGGGTACCAATCTCGACACTCGATCAGGTATTTCATGCAAAAATATGATACATGTTGATTAAAATTAACCAAAGCAAATAGTTAAGAATAAATTGTTTTATTTTATAGAAGAAAAAGGGAAAAACAGTTTCCGACAAGGAAAACGGTTTACCAAGGAAAGGAGGAATAGAATCATCAAATTCCAATTTTGGTCTTACAGAAGATTCCAATACATGTGAGTTTGATTTTGGTAATTTGTGAAAACTGTTTGTGAAAATTATTGTCATTGATCAACATAAAATATGGATTTTTTTTACACACTAGGTTTCTCTACTGTTAGTGATTCTCAAGGACTGACAGATTTCTCTGCACATTTGGGTTTTTCAGAAGATTCGAATTCACAAAACAGCGAACCTGCACCTAAGAGATTAAAGACTGACTAATGTTTGACCTATAATCAGCATCACCGCCAATACGTCGTATAGGGATTGACATTTAGGAATCTATCTCTTTCGTGAACTTTGCACTTGATAAGTTTTAATTAAGAGACATACTTCTTAATATGAATGGATCACAAGAAAAGTTTTTCTTTTCTGTTTCATTCAAATTTAGTGAGATATAAATTATACATATATTATATATACATACATATACTTATATAAGTGCAAATAGTATCGATCCTATGAAACGTTTTGAATTATGTATAATGGAATTTATTTTTCACGTATGAATTTATTACGAATTTCCCCATTGAATTTAGAAACTAGAAATAACGATCGGTTAATTGAATAACGTCAGGCGAGTGCTCAATCCGTTTATGTATGTATATTGTCTTTATATTAAATATTTAATCCTTGAATCAATTATACAATGCATATAGAATGGAGCTTGGAATTGAACTTGAGATCTGTTGATTACAAATCAACCACTCTTGAGTTACACGTCATCCTAATCAGTGTTTATTAAATTCTTGTTTCTATATAAGCCTGCTAAAAGTGATGCGTAGTCTAAGTAGAAGCAATTAATTCGTCAGTAGGTTCTGAGTTCAATCTCGATCCTTATTTTCATATCTCAGTTTATAAGTTGATTAAAAAATTGAAAGTTTTCGGTGAAAGAGTATGAGGTGATTGTAACATGTTTCGGAAATAATAAAATAATATATATGTATATGTTCCACTCTTAACTTAAAGATTCTAGAGTATGAGATTGTAAAAGTGACTTCAAACATTGAAAAATGTTTGATAATAAAAGTGGATTGTACATTCGCGGCGATTAGTAACACACACACACTGCAGTATTACTTTTTTTCGAAATTATATTTTTCTTGCTATAATGATTATTGCTACATCAAGAAGTATCCGTGCAAACTACTGGAATAGTATTATAATTATTTTTGCAAAAACAAAAAAGTCAAGTGCTAAAAAAACATACCTTTATACACAGTTCACGCTTCTGATAGTCCTTAAAAATCATTGTATATATCTCGAATATCATTTTTTTTCATTAATACTGTAGGAGAACTTGCATTCCTTTGCGTTATAGCACCGTGACATGTACAAAATAAGCTTGAACTCTTACGAATAAAATAGTTGATCTCTTAATCAGTGCATGTTATACATCGCTTAAAAATATTATAAAACATTTGTAGTATGTTTGTATAAACATATAAATGTTAGTAAGAATATCTTTATATTTAAAGATATTCTTATTAATTGTTATAGCGAGTATTCCAAAGTGTAAAAAAATGCGTGTGATTTGTGGAAATATTTAATTTGTAAGAATATTTCCACTTAAATTGTGTTCAACGAAACATCAAGTCAAAATTTGAGGGAACGAATCACCTAAAGTGTGAAGAATAGTTTTTGTTTTAGAGTTTTTTTCTAATTAAAATATATGTATATTTATGATTTTTTTTTTACAAAAACGATGTATATTTAATATTAATTTGAAATATTTAAAAATCCATATAAAATATTATGTATAAAAAAATTCATTTATTAAATATTTTACTTAATCACTATTACCAGGGTAATATTTTACCATCATACTGCACGAAACAACCGGTTTGTTTTTCCGTTAACGAGTTTAAGGTATTCAGAATGCAACTGACGCTGTTGTCGACATCCATTGGAGCGTTGCTGCCACCCAGATCGGTTCGCACCCATCCTGGATGCAAACACGCCACCAAAATCCCATCTGCTTTTAAATCGACGCTCATCGATTTTGTCGCCGCGTTAAGCGCCGCCTATTTTGTAAGTGAGATTAAGATTTTGTAAAATTATCTCAAGTATTTAACGATACAAGATACATTAATTCCAATTAATTCCATTAATTCCAAAGTGTAATGTAGGTTTCCTAATTTTAAAATTAAAAAATTTATAAATTATACAGTAATATACTCTACAAATTTTATCAAAACTCAATTCTACATTTCAATAAGAGAATGTACAATATTTAAATTTTAATTCTGAAGAACTGATGCGAAAATAACATCTGTGAAAGACCCATTTAATTTATATTAATTAAAAGGCACTAATTTCAGGGAATTAAAGTGGCACTGATTTCAAGGAATTAAAATGACATAATACCACAGTCTGTGCATTAATATGTATAAAAGAGAATGAACACTAAAATATATAAATGTGTTTTAATAAGAATAATCCAAATGTAGATGTGACATAAAGAAAATTGAATTAACATTTTTGGCAAAAAGATTTATAATTAAGTGGGTCCAACAGACCATCAGTTCCAGAAGGTTAAAGTTTTACCTTGCTGCATCTGTAAGGATAAAAACCGCCATCGCCATTTTCAGCAATACTGCCTAGGATAGATGTCATGTTAATAACTGCTGCTCTTCTTACACTTAATCCCGTTTTATCCTCGGAATTCTTCGCAGCTGTTTTAAGTAGCGGCAGGAAAGCCTTGAATCGATTATTACTTCCGTTATGAACCGACGTTATTCGGCAATGTAACGTTCATAAATGTAAAAGGACTGTAGGTGTACCTTTGTTAGCATAATCGGTGCCACGGTATTTATGAGAAAAGCGTCTGTAATCTGCTGTTTCTTTACGAGGCCAAGACGCGTAAATTTGCTGGAAATACCAGCGTTGTTAAAGAGAACGTTAAGACCAGCACCATTTACCCTTTCATCCACCGTGTCTACGACTCTCTTGTAGCTATCCGTATCCGTTAAATCTGTAAAAAGACAATGTAAAATTTTATCGCGAACGATCGATGCTAGAACTCGCTAAACTACACGTTTGTGAAAAAAAAGTTCAGTTTTGTGCGATAAATGTTTGATATAAATCTGATTCTCTTGCATTATACACAAGCATTTGTCAGAGCATGTGTGGATAGCATACGTCAATGAAGGCTTACTAATACGATGGCGTGACACGGCGCTTTTTATATTTTCATTAGCCTTTTATATTTTTACTAGACTGTAATAAAATTAAAGAAATTTTGCTCCAATTTTACGTGATAAGGTTAAAATTCATAATTTATTTTCAATAAAATAATAAAATAGATATTAGTACAAGTTTGGTATCACATTAATTTATAATCCTTTTGGAAAAAAGAAAGACTTTTGAAAAAATTGGTCGGCTTGTATTTAAATTAGTATGTATTTACTCGTTCTAATGAATACGTGTTAAAACTATATTTCTAAAAAAATATATATGTATATAAAAGTTTTAGCCATTTAATTATCTTTATTTCACTTTAGTATCTATAAAGACAAAGGAATAAATGATGAAAACAAGTTATCTATTTTTAAAGATTTCTAGATTGTTATAGTGCTAGTCACGTTGCAAGAATCGTTTACTTTGGCGGAATCCTAATTATAAAACAAAAGGCCGCGGCAAATGAAGCGTATGAAGGAATTAAAAGAATTTAAAGAATCATTCAATTTCGCAATACACTTATTTATTAAATTATTTTAAAAATACGAAGAACACACACACATGTGATATATGTTGTTATCTCGTTGAGTGTTTCATATTGATTGATGAAATTATTACATTATACGAGATGTGACGTAGAGATATTTCTGTATGTTCATCCATGAATTTAATTTTCCTAGTAATGCGATGACTCTCATTATCACATTTTAATGAATACAAGTCACATGTCACTCCTCGATAAAAAATAAAAAAAAATTGATCTACTTATCGCGTGCAAGAAAGAATTAATCTTTAACGTTTCTTAAGTAGAAAATTGTAAAGCTAGATGGTATCAGATAGCACATTGATTAGTATCGATCAAGCTCAGCAAAATGGCGTCTTTTTTTCTACGATAGGAATGTTCGCGACGTATTTCGCTGTAGACGTTTCGATTGTATTCGGATTTTATTTTTCCTCATTTCGCATTTGTGTGGTGCACGGTCGCGAATATGAAAGCGCGTAAACTGAATAAAGCGAAAGCATGGTTGATATGTTGCGAAAAATCGCAAATTGTCGATTCTGATTCGAGCGATCGAGAAGTTGAGGAGCATAAAGCGCGGAATAAAACGAAGAAGCAGCTGGACAACAAAGGAGAGAACAAAGCTGAGGATAAAATGGAGAGCGATGTGGAGAACAAAGTGGAGAACACGATAGAAAACCAGGTAGACAAGACGGAGGATAAAGTGGGGAGCAAAACGCAGGGTGGTATTGAAAATGAAGTGGAGAACAAAGTGGAGAATCAGAGGGGCAAGATAGAGAATAAACTGGAGGTCAAAACAGAGGACGATGTCAAAATAGAGAGTCAAACAGACGAAGTAGAGAATAAACAGAGGAACAAAACGGAAGGTGATGTTGAGAATAAAATGGAAAACAAAGTGGAGAACAAAGTAGAGAATCGGACAGACAAGACGGAGAATAAACTGGAGACCAACACGGAGGACGATGTCAAGAACAAAGTGGAGAACAAGGTAGAAGATCAAATAGACGAAGTAGAGAATAAAGCAGGGAACAAAAGGGAAAGTGTTATCGAGAATGAAGTGGAGAACAACGTGGAGAACCAGATAGACAAGACGGAGACTAAATTGCAGGCCAAAACGGAGGGTGATATTGAGAATAACATAGAGAAGGAAGTAGAAAATAAAGCGGGAAGTAAAACGGACGATGATATCGAGAATAAAATAGAAAATGAAGTAGAGAATCAGATGGACAAGACAGAGAATAAACTGGAGAACAAAACGGAGGATCATGTTGAGATGGAGAATCAGATGGAGAACCAGGTATAACATAGAGAAGGAAGTAGAAAATAAAGCGGGAAGTAAAACGGACGAGAATAAAATAGAAAATGAAGTAGAGAATCAGATGGACAAGACAAAGAATAAACTGGAGAACAAAACGGAGGATCATGTTGAGATGGAGAATCAGATGGAGAACCAGGTAGAAAATAAAGTGGGGAGCAAAACGGAAGACGTTGTCGAGAATAAAATAAAAAACGAAGCGGAAAGTAAAGTGGAGATAGAAAGCAACGTCGATAATAAAGTGAATAATCAAGAAAAGCAGGAAAATATTCTTCCCACGTCACACACAAGTAAGATCTTAACATTTTTCTTTAACCGGGAATTTAGACATGTTTCTGTACGAATACTCGATCACCATGACGTGTTCCTATCCTAAAATTAATCTGTTGAAATTTTGTTTATGTCATTGTTTTATGACTTATGTCATTGTCGGATGCGTTATTTCATTATCGCGTTATAACTGGTATAACCAGTTATAAATTTATTTTTAAATTTATGTGTATTTTTTAGCTATTTTGGTCAAAACGTGATTTGAAGAACAGTACGATTCTATCTGTTGAAATTTTGTTTATGTCATTGTTTTATGACTTATATCATTGTCGGATGCGTTATTTAATCATCGCGTTATAACTGGTATAACCAGTTGTATATTTTTAAATTTCTATGTATTTTTTTAGCTATTTTGGTTTGAAGAACAGTACGATTCTTATTGTCAATAAAATTCAGAAAAAAACGAAATTTGTACAATTCGAATCCTTTTAATTGCAATCTAGCTTGATTTTAAATTTAAATCTAAACAATCTTCACTTGATTCAAATCATTGAAGTTTATGATGAACAAAAGAAAATTAAAAAATTCAATTTAGAATTATACAATTGTTGCAATTACATTTGAATAGAACGTTATTATAGTATAATATTCGTTCATTATGACAGTGATTCGCAAACGAAATATTATAAGACTAAACCCCTATTTACGCTTTTAAAAATTGTTACAAAATTAAATCTAGGAATGTTAATTTACAAATCATTTTCACCATTAAATATTCCAACAAGGATTGGAATTTCAACGAAAACAATATTGAAACTTTATAATGATTTTATTATCCTTGATATTTAAAAGAACCCAACATTCTTAGGCTGTAATTTTGTAAAAAGCATGATATATCATTTTATCCTTGCTGTTCACCTAATATTAAATAATAAACAAAGATAAAATAATACACTTTGTGCGTTATGTATATTTTACGGAATCAAAAGTTAATCACACAATTGAAATATCAAAATTTCGAGAGATGTCATCAGATATAATTATTGCAAGTCATCTCATTTCTTTTTTTACAAAACATTTTTTTCGCCACGATAAAAATATTAAATTAAGATAATTCTTCCCATCGGACGATTCAAATATTTCAAATTTCTCTGTGCTAATCAGCGTGAATTTAGCGAATAATTACCTAATTTATATCGTTAAGTTTAATCCGCAATTCATAACAGAATAGCAAGAATTTTGCAGGCTTACCTATCTCGATGATCTGTACGGCCGACGATTTGTCAGCGAGCGCGCATAATTCCTGTAAAGATTTCGCTCATTTTTTTCTTCTTTCCATTTAAACGCAATTCGAACATGGGCGGCGAGGTTCGCGCGATTATCTCGACAATACTTTAATCAGACGCGTATAATATGATAGCATGAAAAACCGACTCGTACTCGTTTCTACCAATGTAGATTAACTTTAATCTCGGCTCAACTTATAACTCTTCATCTTTTTCTAATTTTTAGAATTAGAAAAAGATGAAAATTAGTTGAATCGAGATTAAAATTAAATTACACTGGTAGAAACGGGCATCGGGTTTATTTCTATCAGGCCCGTTTCTACTAGTTCAACTTACTCTTTATCTTTTTCTGATTCTCAGAATTGGAAAAAGATGAAGAGTTAGTTAAACCGAGATTAAAATTAAACTATATTGGTAGAAACGGGCTTCAATGTTGATTAACTTTAACTTAACTTTTAGTTACTCAGTTGTGTATTCACATTTGCGATCTTAAAATACTTCGTTGATTAACTTTAATCTCGATTTAGCTTATAACTTAATCTTTTTTTAATTCGTAAAACTAGAAAAAAATGAGAAGTAAATCAAATTAAGATTAAAGTTGATCTTTGGTATAAATCGGGCAAAATTCGTAGAACCAGAGAAGAATAAGAATTATAAGATTAATTTCTACCAGTGTAGTCTCTACATTTTTTAGAATAGAATCTCACTTTATGGCCCAGTTTCACAACTCATGATTAACTCTTAACCGAGGTTCAACTTATTTATCATCTTTTTCCAATTCCTGGAATTGAAAAGAGATAATGGGCCTAAGTAAGATAACTTTATATGTAATAAAAATAACTTTAATTTTACTCTTGAAAAAGAGTGACTTAATTTTCAGCCCTCAAGAATGAGATTTCACTTTTTAGAGTATCGAGATTCTTTCTAATGCCTGTTTCTACCAATATAGATTAACTTTAATCTTGGTTTAATTTACTTTATCTCTTTATCTGGTCCTAATAATTAGAAAAGGATAAGCAGTACGTTAAACCGAGATTAATAATCTACCTTGGTAGAACATCGGTCGACTTGCGCAACGATATTGAAATCGAGTATCACGGAGTATTGCGTTCGCTGATTCATACCGAAATCACGATGGAGGGGAAAATCGTGGAGGATGACGAGCGAGGAACCGTATAATAGATGGCGGTAATGGAAACTTACAGTTACGAAGACGCGTTCGCCGGTGACGTAGCGATTCGCGGTGTCAGTGTGACTTAACTATCGCTTGCATCGAGTTCAGTAGGATCAAACGACAAAAGACTTTAACATTCCGTGACGCGTACGATAAATAGTGGAAAAAATTTTGTCTTTTACGAAAGGAGCAAAAAGAGTCGCGATGGCACCGATCGGTAAGTACCGTTTTTTTTTCGCAAAGTAGGTAAGTTGCGTAACGCGTGACAATTAGTGACAGTCTTTTTCGATTCGAACAAACGGAAACAAAACGGAACGTATAACCCCGTCCCACCTCGCGATCTTACCGTTGCCTTGCTTGCGTCACGGCAAGTCGCGAAGATGTAGTCCGGCGGTCTCGGTGAGTCGATCAAATGCCTCACCAGGCCCAAACCCAGACCGCGGTTGCAACCGGTTACAAGGATCGATCTCATCGCGCTCGGTTGCTCGGTTTCCGGATACCAAGACCACCAAGATCACCGAGACTGACCAAGACCGGCGTCGCGGTACTCGCGGTTAGGTTTCACCGCGGATGAAGAGAGCGCGGGGGTGTACGTGCGGCTGAGTTAGCGCGACGACACGCGCCTCGGAAGTCGCGAGTCCTCACTCTCGTCGGTGCGCAGCACGGAGCGTCACTGACGGCTGACGTCACGTGCTCCGACAATAGTGAATTGCATCATTGTATGTCGCCGATGATCATGGCGACACTGACGGTGTTCGCGCGACTCGTGTCATCTCAATGCGCGCACGCCAAGTTGCTCAGGTTAACGGCTCGGCAGCCGCTCTTTGCCGGATGCGACGCCGGTCTCGTCTACGGCAGAAGCGCGATGGCCTGCATGTGCAGTGAGTGTTTAGGGGAATGACTGTGAATAATTATGATTGCGCGGTTCGTTATGTAAAGTTTGCGCCATCTGCGGAGTCCCGGGTAGCGCGCGAACTCGAAGGTTCCTCACGACTGTTTATTCCGATTTATGTCCAAGGATAATAGATTTTGATGTGTCCTCTACGCGATGTTTTTCTAGACGTCCGTGTTGTCTATGGAAAACTTTTTTATTTTTTTGTAACGCTTAATTTTTTTTTTTTAGAATTTACCTTGTTAAAAAATCTTTCTTGATATATAGTTGAAATTATCTTTCAGCGGATCATGGCTATGATTATGATCTCTTGGTCATTGGTGGAGGATCCGGTGGCTTGGCAGCAGCTAAGGAAGCTGTTGGACTGGGAGCGAAAGTCGCAGTTTTGGATTATGTGACTCCTTCTCCTCTCGGAACTACTTGGGGTTTGGGTGGTACCTGTGTCAATGTAGGATGTATACCGAAAAAACTCATGCATCAAGCTGCGTTGCTCGGTGAAGCTGTTCATGTATAGAAACCTTCCTAATTATTATTTGCTTTCCATTTACGTCAAAACTCAAATAATTCTCATTTAAAGTTGTAACTCGTTTATTCAATTCGTTGAATGCAAGTTTCTTTTCATTCTGACGAGTGAGAGAGTCAACTGAGTTTTTATCTATAATCTGCATGAACTTGGGACTGCGTGTTTTACTGAATTTTATTAAATCGTGTTAAAAGTAAGATTATAAATCTGTGTTATACAATAACTTTATCACCAAAGTAGTGACGTCATTATTTGAATATAAAATACATAACTTTAGTTTCATATCAGTATCATTGAGTAAAAATGGAAAGCTATTGTGATTAAAATGATGTAAAAGATTCATGCCTAATCTGTGAATCATCTTGTTTTTAGGAAGCAGCAACATTTGGTTGGCAGTTGGATCCCAAGTCTGTGAAAATCGACTGGGAAGCCTTGAGAACCGCTGTACAAAATCATGTCAAGTCTGTAAACTGGGTCACTCGTGTTGAGCTTAGGACAAAGTTAGTTGTTTATAATTAGTAGTATTTTCTAATTTTTCTGTTTATATATCAATTAATGGCTATATTATTCATTTTTGTGTATCAATTCATGTTATTCATATTTATATTATTTAATTCTTGATCTGTATGTATTTATTTATTTATATTAAATATTTACTTGTAGGAAAGTTGAATACTTTAATGCTGCTGGACATTTTAAGGACGCTCACACAGTAGTTGGAATTACTAAGAAGGGGGAAGAAAAAATTCTTACAGCTAAAAATATATTAATTGCAGTAGGTGGTAGACCTAAGTATCCCGATATTCCTGGTGCTATAGAATATGGTATAAGTAGCGATGACATCTTCAGTTTGGAACGCGCTCCAGGGAAAACCCTTATTGTCGGTGCTGGATGTATCCTTCAATGGCATTTTACGCGATTTTGTTTTTAGATTTTCTATTGTAATTATGTAAACGTACAGATTAAGATTTTCTTCCTTAATGATGAAATATAGATATTGGTTTGGAATGTGCTGGCTTTCTCAATGGTTTAGGTTACGATACAACGCTAATAATTCGATCGTTGGTGTTGCGTGGATTTGATCGGCAAATGGCAACCCATGTTGCCGAAGAAATGGAGCAACGCGGTGTGAAGTTTAATTATGAAGCAAAGCTTAAGAAAGTTTCAAAACAAGAGGATGGCCGTCTTCTAGTCGACTGGATTGACAAGGTATGCATTTGCTGATAAATTTATATGTGCAAATGAAAAAATATGTCTACATTAGAGTGCAATATAATATAATTTTTTTAGGATGGCCAAATTCATGAAGACGTGTATGATACTGTTCTATTTGCTATCGGCCGACGATCGCTCACTCAAGAACTGAAACCGGAAAACGCCGGATTAAAACTTGTTCCAGAAACTGGCAAGATTGACGCAGTTAACGAACAAACGAACATTCCAAACATTTACGCGGTTGGTGACGTACTTCATGTAAGTTTTTTCAACATTTTATAATGATTTTATCTCGAAAATATATTAATGCACAGTTTAGATAGTTCTAGACATTTTTATCATTTTAATATTTCTCATATTAAATTATGAGTTAAATTACAAATATAATAGAAAATTTTTATGTAATATAAAACATGATTATTTTTTGTATATTTTTTACAGAAAAAACCCGAATTAACGCCCGTTGCTATACACGCGGGTAAACTGCTAGCCAGAAGATTGTATGGTAATTCGACCGAGAAAATGGATTACATAAATGTAGCGACGACAGTGTTCACTCCTTTGGAATATGGATGCGTCGGGTTGAGTGAAGAAGCGGCAATCGCGCTCCACGGAGAACAGGAGATAGAGATATTTCACGCGTACTACAAACCAACGGAATTCTTTGTACCCCAAAAGAATGTCGATCGTTGTTACGTAAAGGTTATCGCGCTTAGACACGGTGATGAAACGGTGCTCGGAATGCACTTTGTCGGACCCAATGCAGGCGAAGTGATTCAAGGATTTGCGGCTGCTATTAAGTAAGTTTTATCCAAAAAATGATTCGTCAATAATTTCTTCAAAAATTTGATTTCAGAACTTCATAACTCATATTTCATAATATTTTTATAGATGTGGCTTAACAATCCCGAAACTGAAGTCTACTGTCGGTATTCATCCAACTGTAGCGGAGGAGTTTACGCGCATAAATATTACCAAACGTTCAGGCTTGGATCCTAAGCCGCAAAGTTGTTGCAGTTAAATCGATATGCACGTAACATCATTGTGTTTATGTCGATCATATTCACAGATTTATACCGATTATCCGATTAGGAGATACCCATATTCCTATGGCAAAGATCAGCTGAATATCTTTCGGCTGAAACAGTTTTTCCGTTCTTACGTATAAAAGCGCTGAATTTCCGCAGTATTACATAAAATAAATAATGAAAGAATTCACAAGCCAGAAAAAGAGAGAAACAGATCATTCTAATTTGTTACGTCACATTATATCACTTTTTATACATATTATTTTTCTAAGAAATGCGCCTTACATCGTGCGTTATTGACGCAAAAAATTATCGTAATGCTTATTTATGATAGCAATAATAACAAATTACTATTAATAAAATGTTGAAGTTATGATTTACATATGATAGCTGTATCTCCTAAAACAATTCCTTTTATGAACAAAAATAGATCGTTTAATAATCAAAGTAAATTTCCTATTTAAACAAAATTATGTATATATAAGATACATAAACGGCAGTATTTAGTTTTCTTTATGTTCAAGACAATTTTATATATAACCGGAGAGACCTGAGAGTGATTATACCGGCCTTTTTCATATACCAAATCTCGTAGAGTAATTTCCACGTTTTTATGATTCTTTTCTATGCTATTACATGGGTTAGACAAGGATAAAATAATTAACTTTGATAGCCTTGTACACCGACGAGATACTATTAAAGACCGACATCCTTACGGGAGTTCGCGTCCTTGTGAATATTGAAGTGATTAAGAGTTAAAAACTGATAATATTGTACTAATTTTATGATTTATTAGTTTAGTAGATGTATATATGCATTTATAACTCAATAATTAAAACTCGATTTTTCTTTAAAATTGAGATTTCAGTGTTATATATCATCAAAGTTTGATTATCAATAAAGATGATAATTGCAGAGAAAAAATTGTGATTTTTTTACAATATATAGGATATTACAGCTTTACAAGTATGTATATTTATTTATAGGACATTTATGTAATAAAAAATCATGAATTTAATAATGCATGAGCCAAATAT